TTGTTTGGACCAGAGAAGGTAGGCGCTTTTAAGACACACCCCCACACGGCCGTTTTGGACGTCCCTCGCTGTTCCAGATATGAGAGCAGTTATCAGGTTAACAGGTGTTGCAGACAATGTTTTGAATTTGGACTGCAGTACCCATTTTAAGCACTAGGTGTCACCGAGTTACAGAGTTTAAGAATTTAGAAGATATCTAATAGAAACTTGGTTGAAGCTTTATATTATATTATTTACATTATCGTAACGCATCTCTTCTGTTATAATTAAAGTAAAGATTGTGTGTGTAGTTCACTGACCAGCGCTCAGCATCCGACACATCCACTCTTTGCAGCAGTGACAGTAAACACGACATGATGCCTTCAGGGTCCACCACATCAAACAACATCTGAAACAACAGCAGAAAAAATGTACCTTTTAAACACATGTTGTATAGTTGCCTTTGGGGGCACTGCAGCTGATATTCATGCAATATTCTGATTTGATATTAACCAGCTGCTCCTAAATCTACCACAATCAATCGCTATGGTAACCATCTGTGACCTCACTTACCTCCAGGACTTTGAGAGTGGCGGTGACGACCTGCGGCACGTCGTCCTGCAGGCGGTCCATGACGGCATCCTTCAGGAATGTTTCGTCCAAACTCTGCTGCTGCAGACAGGAGACCAAGGTTGTAGAAACGTTTGAAACTTTATAAAATTGGTAATTTGCGTTGATACAAGCAGTTCACCTCGAAGAATGTTGGGTCATTTGTGGGCGTTTTGTGCATCCGCTGCATGAAAACAGCTTTAGTTTTCTAAGTAACATTTAGTTTGGAGTACCTCAAGGCTCAAATCAAGGACCCATTCTCTTTAATTTTACACTGTCTTAATTGTACAAAAAAATATTGACAACGCTACAGTACACAAACGTTGCCAACGTGTTACACAGTGTTGTCTATCTTTCTCTCACAACAGCTTTTGTTTAAATATTACTTTCTTTTTTTGACAATATCATTAACTAAAATAATAAGATTGTTATGTTTTAAAACGAGATTGTATCGTTAAGAAATTATAACAACCTAATACAGAGAAGCCTACAAAACTAAAAAAGAAAGGGGCCTTGATTTGAGCCTTGAGGTACTCCAGAAGTAAATGTAAATGAGGAAACTCAAGACACACCCTCTGTGAAGGAAACTCTGAAATCCTCCTCGTGTGACTTAATGTTTTTCTACAACATATGAGAACAGGAAGTCTGCTGCATACCTGTCCGGAGGTGAGGATGCTCATCAGGTGTTCCACAGCTGAGACTCTGACTGAAGGCTGCGGGTGTTTCAGACTGAGGAGCAGCGACGTGTCAGAGTCGCCCATAATCTATACAAAAACACACAGACACAAGAATTTATTTTAAAGATTCATAAAGAGCTTCTTACGAAATCATATTTACAGGGAACAGAAAAACACACAATTCTACCGGTTAGCATCTTTCTCTGTCCAATAAAATGTAAGCCTTTAGGACACACAGGTGTACCTGGTATTTTCCGCTGCTCATGGACAAAGAGAGGAACTGATGGAAGAGACGTTTCTGCTCGCTGCTGCTGACGTCGGTCACATAACCAGAGAGGACGCCGTCCATCGCTCCACAGTACCTGACAGAGGAAAATCACAACACTAATGCTAACCAGCGTCGCAGTGATATTTTATATTCCAAAGGCTGCAACGACAGATTGTACCTTTTTTTCTATAAAGAAAGGAAGAATTCAAAAGCTAAAAAAATATTCGCTACCACATATTCCGATACTGTCAGACTGACCTGGACTCGAACAATCGGACCAGAGGAAGCAGACGCTTGTCGAGGGTCAACAGGTTTTCAGACGAGAGTTCAGTCTGACTCAGGTACTTGTCCATTAGTAACCTGCAGGAGACACACAGAAACACTTCAAACTGTTTGTATCAGACTACAATTAATCAGAATCAGAATTTATTGCCAAGTACATTTACACAAACAAGGAATTTGACTTGGTGTATTGGTGCTAAACAATTAACAAGGAAATAAAGCAGAACTAGCAACAACTTAAATAATACAGTATAAGAAGATATTACAATATATGAAATAGAATTTAAAAATTTAAAATATAAAATAAAGTATAAAAAAATAAAATAAAAATACAAAATGTAAAAAAGGTATTACTTTTGTACATTTTGTGTTTTTTTATTTCAGTAGGAGCTGTGCAGTGGACTATGAGAAAAAAAAATCTGCAGATGAGGGTTTAATGTCCGAAGAATCTCTGCAAACTTTCTGCAAACAGTTGAGAGGTAAAAAGACGTTTTTACTGCAAATAGAAAAATGAAGATGCAAAGTTTAAAAAGATTTTAAAAAACAGGCAAGAAGAAAAATGTATAAAAAGATAAGCCGTGGGCTAAGGTGAAAACCAGAGGGGATGATGTCATCTGTGGTACAGTAGACTGAGGGGCCTCTGGGCATTCCCAACCTTAAAGTCTTAATCTGTGATTTTTCACACTTAAATGTACAAATCAAGTCTCTCCTCTGAAAATAACTCTGTGAGTCATGACTGTCTACAATGGGTGTAACACCCGAGTCCCACTGTCTGTGATGCTTTCAGAGTTTTCAGAGTCCTATCTTCACTTTGTTTACATCGCCGGGACGGCCGGCTGACTCCTCCCCTCACGTATAAAAGTTGTTTAATTGAGGGACTAGAGAAAAGAAGAATAACATACTGTACTCACTGCTTAACTGTGTTTCTAGATCACGCTCATTTCAGGTAAATTTACATGCAGTGTGAAGATACCAGCATAATAAAGATCGCTAGCATTAGCATGCTAACACAACAAAGCAGCGCGAGTTGTTTTGGTTTCATGTTGGAGCTCAAGGGCGACATCTGCTGGATCAAAAAATCATATATACTGATACTGAGGACATAAAGTTATTAGGATGTGTTTAAGATAGATCCACTGGAAACCACTTTGGAGAAGTCTCAAAGTAATGCAAACTTTTCTGAGTACATCAACGGCAAATTTAGTTTCAAGCGACAGCGCTGATGTCCAAAAGTGGAAAATTGTACAAAAGGTTTGTTATTATCTTATAGATACTGGTTTATTTTAATTTATGAATAAGGGATGACGTGAGTTTACCGAGCCACAGTTTGGTCCAGGCCTTTGGTCAGAGGGACGGCCTGCAGGAGCGCCTCCAACACGACGAGCTCGTCTGTCTCCGTCTCACCTGGAAACAGAACGACAGGTGAGACTCAAGAGAAAAATTAATTCAACAGTTACATTATTTGATTGTCACAAAATGTCCAAACGTGTTCTGACCTGAGCTGCAGGTGAACACCGCTTGGACCAGGTGAGGCAGCAGGTAGCGCAGCAGAGGAGTGACGTCATGAGTCGCCGCCATGACCTGGAGCGTGGAGACGAGCGTGGGCATGGAGCTGAGCCGGCTGAACGCTCTGAGGAGGAAGAGAAACAGTCAGGTGATGAAGGTTACACCTGAAGGGGGCGTGTCTAAAGAGGATCAGTCAGGTAAGCAGGGGGCGTGTCTACAGAGGATCAGTCGGGTAATGAAGGTTACACCTGCGTGTTTTGAGGGCGGGCTTACCTGGGCCCGGTGGCATCCTCCTTCTGGTTCTGCAGCAGCACCACGAGGCAGCCGAGCCCCTCTGGAGCGAGTACGGGCTCTTTGAGCAGAGACCTGCTGACGTGCACGGCGAGTGTATCGACCAGACTCGCCTCCATGACCACCTTCACGGCCAGCTGACACACGATCATGTAGGTCGCCGCTTTGTAGTCGCTCAGAGACGACTTCAGACCCTGCAGAGCCGACATGAATCAATCAACTAAACTCAGCCTGAGATCTCTAAATGTTCTGATGAACAGGTGAGCAGGAGGTTTTTTTTACCTTCTGGACGTAAGGCAGCAGTTTGGAGATGATGGCATCGGACACTTTGTCCACAGCGTCCAGAGCGGGGACGATGGTGGA